AGGATGACCTCTTGCGACTCCTTATCACTAGAGGCGCAAAAGTGAATGGGCGACAGAAGAACGGAACTACAGCCCTTATCCACGCTGCTGAAAAGGTTCTCAAATTCACTGCATCAGATAACTTTGGGCAATGTTGTAGTGGAATATAACAGTCATGTGGTCACTTTAATGTTCAGGTTGATCTGTGACCTGTTAGAAGGGATTTATCAATAATTTTCTTTCTGCATTTTCAAAATATATTTGGAAATTTTTTTATTGATGATTACATCTAAAATACTAGTATTGATGTAGAACTTAAGATGATTTAAAAATTGTTTGCAACTAAAACTGTCTTTGGTTAATAAATAAAAATATTCCCAAGTATTGTCATTTTAAAGGATGTATATGGAGAGATTCTCACACAGAAGCCAGTTTAAGGCTAAGCTTTTGGTGGCCTCGTGGGCAGGTTAGTGCATGGCTATGTGCAGGTGAGCAGGGGAAGAAGGTCCACCACAGGATTCCAATGGCCCACAGTAACGGAACAGGGGATGGTGGCCAGCCACCCACTTCACATAAAATCTATCCAGTCTTTCATGATGATGAAGTTTAAGAACATCCAAAAAAAAAGTCTGACTTTTCAGAATTAATTTTGCTTTTTTAAAAAACAGAACTTTTTAACCACCGTGGCTATCCTTTTGGAAGCAGGAGCTTTTGTAAATGTCCAGCAGAGCAATGGTGAGACTGCACTCATGAAGGTAAGTTGTTCAGCCTCTCAGACAGGTGTTCATGTTAGGGAAAGCATGCTGTGGTCACGCTGTAACTGGCCTTTTGAACTGGAGAGAATCCTTGGTGTGGATGTGAGGAGAGCCATACTGTGTCCTTCAAGCAGCATATTGGCACGAACTAGAACAGGACAAGAAGATGCAGTTGTTTTGGAAAAACTATGTACATAGCATATGAGAATCAATCACCAAAACTGAATGATGCCAAGAAGGAGGCGAACAGATCCAGGAGTAGTTAATTTATTGAGTACAAAGCACACAAGATCTCTACACCTATATATCAAGACTGGATTTCCTCCTCCTTTATGTAGACACTTTGGTACTCTGAGCATCGCATTCTCTCGCCTAATGGTTTTCTTCTCTGGACTTCATTTTTGGGCATTTGGGTAAGGACGGGGATCATCACAGCCTTCAGCTCGTGCTCTATCATCGAGTAACTTTTTTGACAGTGTCGCCAAGTCACTGAGTTGCCCAGGCTGGGCTCAAATTTGCAGTCATACTGCTTTGCCCCCCAAGTCCCTCCTGGGACTACCAGGCACATGCCACTATGCCTGGCTTGTAGACATGTTCCCAGAAGGTAGTTGGAGCTTCCTAGCATCTGGTGAACCCCAATAGTTCCCTCCCTCTGCAGCAGGTTTATATTTGCCTTATGGTACCCAGCCCAGTGCTACTTGGCTGTAGGTTCCTGGCCCAGCACCATTAGGACATAGCAGGCCCAGACTCTGAACTGAACATAGCTTTGACTTTGACCTATCCCTGGTGTGCAGCTTTAGGCCATGAACTAAGCAGGGATTTGCCTGCAACCCTTCTGTTCCATCCTCTGTGTGGTGTCAGTTTTGTAGCAGGCCGCATGCTGAGTCTTGCCTTGAATACTGTCTTTTACAGGCTGGAATCTATGCCCTTCTTAGGCTCTAGCCATACTCAGCACAGGCCTTACTTAGTACTTTATGAATTTTTGGTTGATGGAAATGTCCATTTTTGCTAAGAGCTTAGGTTTCAATCCATAGTCTTACTTTATGTGTTATGGGCATCTGTGCAGAGCAGAGCTGGTGGCTCAGGGAGAAGCAGCCCAGGATACATCTGAATGTCAGGCAGGCCTTAGGCACAAAGTGCCAGTGGGGAGCACTGGCAGTGGGACAGGCTCTGTGAAATTCTGGTTATGTAGCTGACAACACTGGGGAGCCATGGGCAGGTTAAAGCTGAAGAAAGACTTAACTAGATTCAAGGATTAGTCTGTTTAACATACCTTAGAGCAAAAGGCAGAAAGGACTGGGGAAAGTTTTGTAAAGTAACTATAAGTAGCTTGTACATAACCAATGGTAGAGGAAGGGTGGATATTTCATCTACCTTGTAGGAGGTAGAATTCCCAGAAGGTGGGAATAGGAAGGGCCCAGAGAATGAGTCCTTTGCTGGGGAGGCCCACACTAGTCTGTGATGCTGTGCAGTTGGGGATTCCTGCTGTGGGTTTTCTCAGTCTTCACCATACTTCCACTCTTCACACAGTACCTCGCTCCCAGGTTTATGTGGAGAGGGAACCATGCCAGCTGGTAGTTAAACTGTCCCTCCTTTTCCTCACCTAGGCCTGTAAAAGAGGGAATTCAGACATTGTTCGGCTTGTAATTGAATGTGGAGCTGACTGTAACATTTTGTCAAAACACCAGAACAGTGCACTGCATTTTGCAAAGCAGTGTAACAACGTGCTTGTGTATGACCTGCTGAGGAGCCACTTGGACACGTATGTACAAAGTGAATGTGCTGTAGTTAAGTCACAAAGCCTGTTTATTTTGACATATTAGCACTAGACTGGCCTCTAAGTAACTACTCAGGTAAAAGATTTAGTATCCTGATAGGTTTCTGTTCTTGCAGACCATGAAGTTAGTAAATGGTGTGCTTTGTTTTTGTGCATGTTATTAAAGTCTTAGAAAATAATCACACATAGAAAAATCGTAGATATGAGTATCTCCTCAAAATCTCCAAATATACGCTGTTAATTTGGCTGACATTTCCTTAAAATCTTTTCAGCTATTTAAGCAGTTTGAGTTTCACCAAAAAATAGAATGAGGATAGAGTTCCACATATTCCATTCATCCTCCTCCCACCCACACCATTGTCCTTCTCATTGAAACGGGACATTTTGTAAGGCTCCATGTATGTGCATCAACATTGTCATCATGCAGAGTCCCGAGTTCACAGGGCTCAGCCTTATGTGCATTCTGTGGGACTGGACCAATGTATATGGCAGCATTCACCACTATGTCTTAGAGCAGTTTTGCTGCTTTAAAATTTGTTTTCAAAATAAATGTTTCCACATCTTTGTCACTCTCACCCATCCCCCTCTCTCTAGCCTTTGTCTTTTGCTGGCTTCATAATGTGCCCTTTTTGCAGTATTTGGAATCATACATATCTGGCCTTTTCAGATTGTTTTTTTTCGTTGTTGTTGCTGTTGTTGTTTGTTTGTTTGTTTGTTTGCAGAACCAGGATTGAACTCAGGCCTTTGTGCTTGCCAGGCAAGCACTTATTCTACTGAGCTATCTCCCCGGCCCCTTGATTTTCTGTTAGCTATAGCCATGTATGATTCCTTCCATGTCTAGATGGCTCATTCCTTTATGGCACCACCATTCTATCCATTCTTTGTACCAGTTTTTTTAGTGAATTCTAATTCTTACTTTATGGCAAGTCATACTTCATAGCATGTTCTTTTGTTTTTAATCACTCGAGAATTATTTTGACAATACCTGCCAGAAATGTTACATACATTAGTGAGTGAAAGAAAATGCTTATTTTCCATGTAACAAGCACCTTCTTGGCAGTCTTGGGAGGTAAGACTATTCTTCTTCCCTCCTGATCCCACTGTACTAGGAAATTATTGGTCCTTTCTGCCTATGTCTCCTCCAAATTGAAGTGAAGAATCTGTATTCTAAGCAGAATATCAGGTACATTTTAGATCAAAGGCCACATAAGGCCTGTGCCTGGTCTGTCTTCCATACAGCCTGTGCTGTGTTCCTTTCTCAGGACAGGCTGTGAGGAATTCCAGGAACCATGAAAGTCTTCTCTGACCTCACTCTTCTTGTTTGTACTGAAGGGGCTCCCATTTTTTATTTACTCATTGGGCAAATTTGAGCAGACACTATCTTAATAAGGCAGGGAAAATGGAGAGACCATGAAAAAACTTATTCTTTTTAGTCAATTACAGTGAGAGAAAATGGACAGGAGGCAGAGTCCCTTACAATAACACCAAGTGCCAGTTGCAAGAGGAAGCAAGCAGGGAAGTAGGTTGAGGTGCTGTTAACACATGATCATCAGGACTGTGTGGTGTACATTCACAGCTTTTGCCATGTTTTACTAGGCTTTCAAGAGTGGCCGAAGAGACAATCCGAGATTATTTTGAAGCTCGCCTTGCTCTACTAGAACCTGTTTTCCCAATAGCATGTCATCGACTCTGTGAGGGGCCAGATTTCTCAACAGATTTCAATTACAAACCTCCACAGAACATGCCAGACGGTAAGCCTGTTTGTATACTGAAGCTTCTCAGTTTGAAGTATAAACTGAATATTAACTGATTCATAGACAGAACCCTTTAAAAAACAAAACCTTAAAAGAACTACTGCTGTGTATAACAATTATGTAAACAGTTAACATTAGAGTGGCTGTGGCAGAAGAGAAAACCTACCTATACTCAACACCCTAGGCAGTGTTAAAGGGTCCACAAAGCCCTATTTAGAATGCATAGAGCTAGCTCTTTGTCATTAATACCTATTTTTGAGAATTCCAAAGCCATCGCTATTACTAATAGTTTTTACACTTTTAGACATAAAGAGGAAAAAAAAAAAAAGTTTGCCCAGAGTAGTTTAGTAAAGAGATGTAGAAACTTCCCACCTGGCTCCTGGCCTCTGCTGAACAGCTCCCATTGGTGGCCTGACTGCGGACTTGCTAGCCAGCACGCAGTGGTAGCTAACACATACACAGCATACACTGCCATTTCTGACTGGAGTAGGGAGCTGGGCTCTAGGCATTTTGTTAGAAATCTCCAGTTCTCTAATCAATTAGTGAAAAATTGATTTAAAATATAGCGTAATATTATCCTGTGAAGACAGCCATCTGTAGCATCTTGATGTTTACTGAACATGTTAGTGAAGAATCATAATTTTAGTGCTGACTACTCACCTTAACAATATGTGCTGCTGTGATTTGGTATGATTCACTGTTTTCTCATTACATGCACATGTCTGCACCCACCAGAAATTTTTACTGATTTGAAATCTTACTGTGCCAAAATGCTCTGCCATCTTTCTGTAAGTCCCTGATAGTATTCTGAACCATGCTCTTCAATTCTACCTCCTAGTTTGGCCCAGTCACCAGCTCCTTGAGAGCTTAGGCCTTAAAAATGTCAAGACTTTGGTTTGCAAACACTATAACTTGTAAATGTACCTCTTACAGCCTCTTGCAGGGCTTTTGAATTGCAAAGATGTTTATGAGTATAGAGTAAATTGACCAGGGTTCTGTTTCATTTTGCCTATGAAATTCAAATGCTTGTCAAAAGAGAATGGACTATATACCATACCCTTATGGCAAAACTCACTCTGAGGGGCCGGGGAGATGACTCAGTAGAATAAGCGCGAGGGCCTGAGTTCAAAAAACAAACTCACTCTGACCTCAGTGAGAGGCTTCTTAGTGTTTTGTACACAGGCTCTCTGCCTTGGTGTGCTCTGGAACCTTTAGTCTCTCACTATTTTGCTTTTTCACAGTGGAGCTTAGGAAAAAGACAAGACTATCCCTGCATTCCTTATAGGCACTTGACCCTTTTTGCTGTAGGCAGGGAAAGTGTCTTTGTGGTGCAAGAAAACAAAGTCTGTACCCTACTTTGAGTTCCCTTAGAACAATTTTTTTTTTTTTTTTTTTTCAGAACCAGGGATTGAACTCAGGCCCTTGTGCTTGCCAGGGAAGCGCTTATTCCACTGAGCCATCTCCCCGGCCCCTAGAACATCTCTTGTTGATAACTATCCTAGATGAAAATAGTTACCTAATGTAAAAGAAGTCATACAGCTCACATATTCATTTTGTGTTTTATTAACAATATTTCTGGACATTAATAAAAACTTTACATTGCATGCTTTTGGTTTCAAATAAGACTTGCTTCAGTATTGAGAAAATTTGGAATAGGTAAGATAGTATGTTCAAGAAAATGGAAAAACCACGCAAACTCACAGAGACAAATGACCATTGAAACATGGGTTTGCTTCCTTGCACATGCATTCAGCAGGAACTTTTAAGGACCACTTTAAAAAAAACCAAACAACTAAAACATACATGTGGAAAATAATCCTACTTCAAAGTCTTTCTTAGGAACTGCAAGTAGAAATTACTTGGGAAAGAAGGGATTCACATATTGGCGAGCAGCAGGCCTGGCGGCCTTCTTAGAACCTTCAGCCTGTGTGCCAGGGCTTCCTCACAGACGGAAAGTGCCTAAAGGTCTAAGTAAGGGTAGCTTGTGTATAATCCTCTCCTGCCTTCCTTCCTCAGGTTCTGGCATCCTGCTCTTTATTTTCCATGCAAACTTTTTGGGTAAAGAAGTTATTGCTCGACTCTGTGGACCATGCAGTGTACAAGCCGTAGTTTTAAATGATAAATTCCAACTTCCTGTTTTTCTGGTAAGATTTTCTATAGCCCAGTGCTAACACTGTTCTAATCAAAAGCCCAGATGACTTAAATTCCTATTTAAATAAAACATGACCTGTGAACCAATTATTAGGAATGAGATAGATTTTCTTTAGTTATGTTACCATATTATATTAGAAGCAACATTATTTTCACTGTAAATTCTTAGGACATAACAAATACATAGCTTGATTTTTAAATATCAGGCTTTAGGCCAGGGAGATAGCTCAGCAGCATTGACACCTGCCTGGCAAGTGTAAGGAATCCCCAGAACCAAAAAAAATAAATAAATAAAACAGGCCTTTTCCACCATTATAACAAATGTTTACTTAAAGTGTTTATCCTGATATTTTATATAATTTGTGCCTTTTTAATAAATCAAGGGGAAAAAATGAATCAATCAAGGGGAATACCTAGCACATGTTACAGAAAAATAAAAAGAGAATATTCTTTGCTACCACTGAAGTCATAGGTAGGATCTGGTCTTTAGGAAAGGTAAAGGTATAGTTCTCCACACATTTTGGAAGATTTCATCTTTTAAAAATAAACGGTTTATATTGAAACGGTCCTACCAATTTGGTTTGAAACTATCTCCTTGCTATTTATTTCTCAATAAAATTATGGGGAAAAAATAAAATTAAAAAAAAGACTAAAGTAGAAAAATAAAAGAATTATGTTTATATCTTCAAAAAAAAATAGGGGGCCGGGGAGATAGTTCAGTAGAATTAGTTCAGTAGAATAAGTGCTTGCCTGGCAAGGGAAAGCGAGAATATTGAGGCCCCGCCCCCTCAACACACTGAGATGGTAATTGAGACTGGGCATGGTGGCATGTGCCTGTAATCCCAGCAATTGGGAGGCTGAAAACAGGAGGATCACTGAGTCTGGTCTGTGTAGTGAAAACCCGTAGACCCTGTACTAAATCTCTGCTTTCTTTTCCCTCTAGGACAGTCATTTTGTTTATTCTTTCAGCCCTATTCCAGGCCCCAATAAGCTTTTCATAAGGTTGACAGAAGCACCCACTGCCAAGGTAAAAATCATTTGTGTTCAATGTTAATGATACTCTACCTGTAGTAGAGACAGGTACTGCCTGAGGCAGCGTTTCAAGATGCCCATAACAACATGATAGGATAAGTTGAAGGTGCACCTAAGAACATCCCTGGATCAGTGGTCTAGGGCCTATTCTAGGCTCCAGTATGCAAGTACCTCTCTGTAAAATGAAGTAGACTAGGGTCATTTTACTAAAGTGCCTGCTTAGGCAGGCTCAGGGACCAGGGTTCAATCCCCAGCATGCTGTGCCAGCCCTGCGCCCAGAACACACTGAGATGGCAACTGAGACTGGGTGTGATGGCGCGTGCCTGTAATCCCAGCACTTGGGAGGCTAAAAACAGGAGAATCACTACGAGTCTGATCTGTGTAGTGAGACCCTGTAATAGAATTGTCTAATATAGTGAACAACTAAAATAGCAATCTGTAACTCAACCAGGCTAAAATTGAACACAGTGGCAAGGCCATGTTTTTGTAAGAAAAGAGAATTCTGGTTTGTACTGATACATATTTTTCCCTTTCCTAGGTTAAACTGCTGATAGGTGCATACAGAGTACAGCTTCAGTGACCAATCGGGATTGGGATGGAGCTTTCAGACACACTCTTACCTGACCTTTGGAAGCAGTTTGGAATTCTGGCGCACCTAAAACTTTTTAAGTTTCTCCTGTAAATTTCTTTAAACCTGTCATCTGTTTTGGTCTATGAGATCAATGTGGTGGCTCTAATATATACAAAATATAGATGTATGTGTGCCAGTCTTCTGAAATTCAGCGTTGTACAACACTGCATTTTTTTTCCACAATGTGGAATAATAGTACATACATAGGAAGATTAAGAAAATTAAAAGGTTTTTTTTTTTAGTTTTTTTTTTAAGAACTTTGAATTTTCTACTGGTCTTGGTGAATTTCTGTTTAAAAAACCAAAAACATGTAAGTGCAAAGAACCAGCTTACAGTAAGGGAGGCATAGTCTACTCACTCAGGTTGCAGAGGTAGACAAAGGACAACTCTACTGCCCTTACGATGACTGCTGTCATACAGAATAGAGACTCTCACTACACAGATGCCGGGCCACCAGAAAGACAGCAATGCCTTTGTGTAAAAGTGCAGTTTGAACTTAACCTTTTGAAAGATAAAATGATAAAATAAAAACCTAAGATGCAGCAAGAATATTGAGAGCTTTTTTGTATGTTCTTCAAGCTGAGTAATTTTGAAAAGCGGCCTCATGCACACAGCAGTGCCAGGGTCTAACTCCAGGCTGTCACTTCCTGTGGCAGGCCCTGCTCTTGTTACCTGGGTTGGGGCTGAAATGTGTGCTCCTTCTACCTCTGCTCACAGTGCTGAGATTACAGGTGTACATCACCACACCTGGCCTCATTAGCAGTTTTTAGTTCTGTGAAATTTGATGAAAACAATTTCAAACTGACCTGCAGACTGACATACACTGACAGTTCAGAGAACTACTTCCTTAGATAACAGCAATGCTGCAATATTCTTTTTGCATTCCATTTTAGATTTCAAGACTTCAAAACAGAGATACTATATATGTCATTTTCTAGTTAAATGTTAGCCACAATTGAAGTATTTAAATTAAACTGAGTTAACCATTAATAAAATAGCATACGGCTGGCCAGACAGCTCAGCAGATTAAAACAGGGACCTGGGTCTGATCCCCATGCTGGCCCTGCCCCTGGAGCACACTGAGGCAGTGATTGAGACTGGGCATAATGGCACACACCTGTAATTCCACCACTTAAGAGGCTGAAAACAGGAGGATCACTATAAGTCGGATTGTGTATGAGAACCTGTAGACCCTGTACTAAATACAAATAAACTAGCATATCTGACTTATTATTGAGTTTTTTTGTGGCCAGCTCAGCCCACTGTAGGGGTGGGGCTGGCACCCCATATGATGCTGGAATCAAACCACAGTCCCTGTGTTGCCCAGACCGCTGAGCTGTCTTGTTGGCCTCTAACATTCTTAAAATAGAGTTGTCAAAATTAAACCTATATTGAAGAGGCTTACAGACTGGAAGAACATGTCTGTTGTCACTGGAGTGAGGCTAAGACACAATGTAGGAAATCAGCACATGGTTCCTCTAAGCGTTTATAACCTTGTGGTAACACCACCTGCCAAGTTCTCTGTTGTCAGCTTGTGTCAGGTGTGCCACTAATACCTATAAAGTCAGCCACATAACTAGAAATATAATGAAGAGCTACTAAATCTTTTCTACAATCAGGCAATAAGCCCACCTGTGTTCGTGGGGAGAAAAAGTAAATAGCTTTTTTTTTTTTTTTTTTTTTTTTTTTTTTGCGGAACCGGGGATTGAACTCAGGCCCTTGCGCTTGCCAGGGAAGCGCTTATTCCACTGAGCCATCTCCCCGGCCCGTAAATAGCTTTTTAAGGATGAAAAACATTTAAATCAAGCAGACTACCTCCAAACCCCCACTAGCTGTTTCTCTCTTTTTTTTTTTTTTAATTATTTTTTATTTATTTTATTTTTTGCGGAACCAGGGATTGAACTCAGGCCCTTGCACTTGCCAGGGAAGTTCTTATTCCACTGAGCCATCTCCCCTGCCCCCCACTAGCTGTTTCTTAGGAGCTAGTCCTAGGTAGGCAGCAATCCTCTTGGCTGCTGCTGCTGCTTAACCATATAAATAAACAGTATTCTTTGGCAAAGCAATTCTTTTATTTATTTTTTTTTAATTCGTAGTGATCCTCTGTCGCTGAGATTCAGGTATGCACCACCACACCTAGTTTTGGTGGCTGGCTCAGCGTGGAGACAGCACAGCATGAGGTACTAGAGCTCAAACACAAGTCCTTGCACTTGCCAGGCAGGCACTTAAACTGCTGAGCTTTCTCCCCATCCCTGGCAAACCAGTTCTGAAACAGTATCTTACCAAAAGGTTTACAGAGAGGATTAAAACTGCAAGTTTCAGCCAAAATAATGTGCTTATGCACTTGAGTTGTGAACTGGGTGGCCTTAAACTAGACTAGCAGATCATCAGCAAAAAGTAGTTTTGCAGGTTTTTCAATTCAATTATCCTAATTTAAGAAAGCATCATCTCCCTCTCTGCCATTCCTTTCAAGTACACAGAAAGGGAGGAGAAAGATTTAGTTACAACTTACACCTGGTTCAGCCTATTGGTTTAAATATCAGATACATAATATAGTCTCCTGTCTATAATAACCAGGTGCCAAAGGGATGGGCTTGATAAACGTTGAATATACACGAAGGGAGTTCCGTCCATCTTAAGTCACTTAAGTGCTATTGTTAATCTCATCTTGGTATTTTCTTTTTTAAGTATTTAGTACAGGGTCTCACCACACAGATTGGACTCAGTGATCCTCCTGTTTTCAGCCTCCCAAATGCTGGGATTACAGACACATGCCCAGTCTAAATCACTCTCAGCACACCCTGAAGGCGAAGCCAGAACAGCACATGAGGGAATCAAACCCCAGTCCCTGAGCCTGCCTAAATAGGCACTTTACTCCACTGAGCTATCTGGCCAGCCCTAACATGACAGCTGTAGTGTGTAGTGCACGGGCTGTATCTTGAGCTCACTTTACACCCCAGGCTTCATGCACTGGCACCAGGGTGTGCTTTGCCAATGCTCACAAGGATGAGCACACACAGCAGTCCAAAGCCCAAGTGTAAAGTCCACATGCAGAAAAGCTCCAAAGAGGAAGAGCAGGACACAACTCACAAGACTGAAAGCACTGACTGATGAAACAGTAGAACACAGAACCTGCTAAGTTCTCACATCTCACACTGTTCACATGCTCCTAGTGTAAGAGCCCAGGGCTGGAATCCATGTAGCCTCACTTACAGGTGGCTCCTTGTAGCCCAAAGCTGGCGTTTCTATAGTTGACCTGTCTGGTTAGCTACAGAGGAGCCTCACTAGTAACTAGAATGAATGGAGTTCACACTGATGGCTCTGGACCACACTAAAAAGTCATCTCCTTGATTCTGTATATCGCAAAAATGCAGGCCAAGAGTCTAAGGAAAATGTGTGGCATCAGTTCATTTTGGGAAAATAATAAGCTACATATCACTATCCTACACTGTTTGTAGCCCTCCATATTTGCTTAACCTAAGTCATATCCTATGCTTATTCCCACAAGACAGATTTCCTCCTTTCACTTTACATTCCCTCCCCCCCCACACACACACTTTCTTATGCAGAGGGTCAAGCCCTCATGCAAGGAAAGCCCTCTCCCACTCAGCTATATCCTCAGCCCTAAGTTGATCTAACTCTTCTGGTCTCAGCCTCTTGTGTCACTGGAATTCCAGGCATACATCACCATGCCCAGCTACAAAGCTGTACCATTTCAACTGTACAAAATGTGCTCCTGGGGGCATATTTAAAATGTTAGGATGACTCATTTTTCCATAAATTGCTTACATGGACTCTTACTTATTTACTGGCTTGTTTGTCCAGGGGTACTGAGAACATTTCCCACAGAGCGAATTGACCTGAAAAAGAAATTCTGCATTAGTAGACAAACCGATATCCATAGTACATTTTGTAACAAAGAACAACAAAAAGATTCTAATACTAAATAAAATGTGCTACACTACAAACACTGAGAAGACCTAAACAATATTCAAGACCTGAATTAATCCATTTTACCTACAAAAATGTTCTTTAATCCAGTGGCTTCTACCAAGTTTTTGTTTTGTGCTACTAGGGATTGATCTGGGCCCTTGTGCTTTGAGCTATGCTCGGCCCTTCTTATTTTGAGACCTGATTTCACTAAGTCGTTGGATGATTGAGACTAAGCTAAGCTGTTGAATTTGTGATCCTTGCACTCAGGCTCCAGAAGTGCTGGGGTACAGATGTGTGCTACCAAGCCTGGCTACCACTGGTATTTTACTGTGAATTCATATACACATTACCTAAGTACATAATGAGTTATGTATACTACTGCTATAAAAAGTGAATCTAAGGACCAGTGAGATAGCTTAGTGGATAGCACTGCTTTGGCAAGGGCAAGGACCAAGGTTCCCCGTCCTACATGCTGCTCTGGCCCTGGCCCCGGGGCACACTGAGCTGCATGACAGAATCCCAGCATGGTGGCGCACACCTGTAATCCCAAGGCTGGGATGGCTGAAAACAGGAGGATCATTACAAGTCCAAGCTGTATAGTGGGATCCTGTACCAAATACATAAATGAAAATAAATAAAATTAATCTGATACAATACACACAAAAGAAATTTTAAAAAGTGAGTCTGAAAAAACATGGTCCCAGCAAAAAGCTGCACCATCAGGGACTTAGTTAGAAATAGACATCTTCAGGACTCACCACAAAGGATCAACAGTCCAGAATTCTGTTAAACATTCAAAGTGAAAACCCCTCTTATCTCAAGTGCACCCTGCTGAGCCAGGCATGGGGCCTGAGAATGGGCAAACTGACCAGCTCCCAAAAATGATGGTGGTCTACAGGTGGTTCTGAAAAGCAAAGCCTAGGGTTAACTCTTGACAAACTAGATGAAAAACAAGTGTCAGCCAGGCATGGTGGTACATACCTGTAATCCTAGCACTCAGGAGACTGAGGCAGTAGGATTACTGAGAGAGGCTATCTTGGGCCACAAAGTGAGTTCAAGGACAGCACGAACTACACAATAAGACCCCGTTTCATATACACAGAAAAAACAAGGGTCAGTAAGTGTCTCAAAGGTACAAAACCCATCTGTATTTCTGGGAAGTAGATAAATACTGTCAGGCAACAGTCACTACCTGGTCTCTAGTACCAA